GAAATGTGTCTTCATTTTCTGTGTGTGTGTGTGTGTGTGTGTGTGTGTGTGTTTATGAGATGCGCTCGCTGCAGAGGATGGTCCCAGCCCTGCCTGTCACACCGTCTCCACATGGAGGATTATGGATGGCCAATTACATCGCTTTTGTCATTAATTAATGAGGATAACGAGCTCCCCCTGCTCCCGACAAAACCATGGAGCTCCTCAGCTGGTGCTGAACAGAGAGAGGGTGGTGCTGGGTTTTGTGTGTGTGTGTAAGGGTGTGTGTAACTGGTGTGTGTATTCTTGTAGCTCTCATGTTGTAGGGACATACTGTATTGCTGTTTACAGAGTCACATTGCGGGCAAACTAGCGCCTTACACTCACATTTAAAGTTGGAGTTTGAGGTTTTTTTATGCAGTTTTGTGGAAAGATCATGACCAGTTAGTATCTTACCTGTTGTAGATAGCTTACTGAATCCCATCAGTTTTGAGGAGTAGAGTTAAACTCTGACTGGACTCTTTTCCACAAGTCCAAGCAGAGTCAAGACCAAAATGAACTGCTGCCATTTCCAAACAATTCCACTCTCACAAGCTGTACAGTAGCTCTCCAAAAGCTACTTCACAAACCTTCATGTCACTGTCAGTTTTGTATTTTCAGGTTATTCTGGCAGAAATATTGTGATATTCCTCGTGGACATTCTTCGGACTGCACCTTAAGTGCTACAGCTAGATGCTCCTGCTGCAAATGAAAAGTGACTGCAGTGTAATCATTTATAGAGCTATTAAAAAGACTGAGAAATGTTTGAGGTAGAACTGTTTTAAGACAGAAGACCCTGCTCAGACAAGCTCTTAGCGCGGTAATTTGGTCACAATTAAATTGTAATTCTTTGTATTGTAGTCGTTTTAAAGGCTTTTCACTGATGAATTTTTATTGCCTTTCCATAGAACTCTTCTGCAACAGACTGGACTGTCACTTTAACAGTGTAGAAACAAAAACACAGTTTAAGGTTAAGAAACGTTTAGGGTTTTACACATTTACATATTAGTATTCAGAAACGATTGTAACTCTTATGAAGTGATGAAAAGAAGAACTCTGTGTTCATTAAAGTGTGTAAAAAGACACAAAGGAGGAGTGAACAGTTAAAGAAAAGGCCTGAAGTACTGTACTGTAAGTATTTAAGAGAAGGAGGCTACAGCAGTGACTGCTGACCTCAGGGCTTTGCATATTAGTCCAGTTGAGGTGTGCTTTGTGTGTGTGCATGTGTGTGTGTGTCAGTGTTTGCTCACCACCAGCCCTGTATCTGTGGGGCCATTACAGAGATTAGGCCGTGCTACCATAACGGATGCCCCCGTTTGTCAGCTCACATCCTCTGTCAAGATAAAACGAGCTAAAGGAGAAAGAGTGAGTGTGAAGAGCACCAAGATTTTTAGGGGGAGGCTCTGGTGGAAGACGAGGAGGAGGTGGAGGAGGAGCGCAGAGGCCAGAAAAACACGAGGTGGAGGAACTAAAGGTTTAGATGAGGAGAATTAAAGTTTTGAACAATGTCTCTTGTAGTAACTCTGGTTACTGTCATCATCAGTGTTGCTTATCCTGCCTTCATTTCTCCACCCTGTCCACCATAAACACGTTGAAAACCTGCAAACTATACAGGATTTTCAAACCAGCCGCACAAACACGTGGACACATACAGACACCCCCACCACCACCACCACCACCCTTTGGACATGTGATTAACGAATGAAAGGCTCTGGCCCGTACTGCTGCACTTGCAGCAACGTCACCCCGAATCACATGGCTCCTTAGAACCAACTGACTCACCCGCTCATCGCTTCCGACAGGGCGGGGCTGGAAGGGAAGACGAAGTGTGATGTCATAGCAGAGAAAGAAAAGTTGCAGGGGGCTTCCATGGACTGGGTGTTCTTGCAGGTCTACCTCTCAGCACACCTTCTCGCCCTTTTGTCACCACCGAAAACAACGTGCGCTGGTGTAGACCTACTGTTCAATGAACCTGCCCCCGTTCTCCCATCCAAAGCCCTCTCAACTGCAACAAATAGAAAAACCTCTACTCTTCCACAAAAGCCCTCAGTCTTCCGTTGTAATCATAATCAGAGTGGAAGCACGTTCTTCTTCCTTCAAGGCCCCCGTTGTAGCCGTCACTGTATATGTGAGCGATGGAGTGCCGCAATGTGAATCAGACACACAAGCTTGCACATGGAGAGAACTTAATTAGAGAAAACAGCGCTGTCAGATGCATTAGGCAGAGGTACACACTTAAGGGCATATGGTTTTAGTTCCATAGTGTTGGGCTGGAGAAAAGCGCACAAACATACCTCAGAGCTCCGAGCCATGCTAATGAAATCACTCCCTTCCAATCCCACTGAGAGCAAACACAAATGTTTACAGACATCACACAGTCTGTCCGTACTTCTGCAGCACACTGGGCCGCCGTGAGAGTGGCACTGCGAGCGCACACTTTGCCTGAATAAAAACTCTGTCAGCAAGAGACGAGAGGTGAGAACGGGCAGCAAGATGTCGCGCCGGAATCGTTTAGACGATAGCAAGAATTTGTTTTATCTCGTTGCATTTAGCACGCGTTGCGTTCTCGCCCATTAGGAACGCTTCGCTTGTAGAAAGAAAGAGAGATGTTTAGTTTAAAAATGATCGCTCATGTTGGTCTGAAAATGTCATTTAGAGGAAAGAATCTCCTGACACAGATGGGAATGTGTCTTATTTTTCTGCTCTGTGTGCAGAGCGCCCACCAGAACCCTAGCAGCGTATATTTTCTATATATTTGAGCTAAACACTGCAGCTGCACCCCATCCAGAGCTTTACTGTGTATTCTTTAGGTTTTTCAGTTTTAACACAGGTTTTTCACAAACTGATCCCCAGAATATATTCAGGCGTCACTCTGGTTTTTGTGTCGCACAGAAAAATAAATGGTTTGTAATTATAATAGTAACATTTTCTTTTCCTAAATAGCCTTTATTAGACCAAAAGCAGGAATTCCTTTATTTTCTTTATAAATCTCGTGTTGCATTAAACATACAGCACAACAACTGATAGTGGTTTATTTATTTTTTTACATTTTCTTATTAAAACTGTAATTTACTTTTTTCTTCCAGCAAGCTAAAGCTGCCGCTCACACACACACATGTGGCATTTTGTCTGCTTTAACTTCAAGGCGCTATATTCCATCTTATAATATGCAATTAACAGAATTATAACTTACGTGTAATTATTTTTGAATATGCTCACTTCACCCACTGCTGCCTGGTGAAACACCCCCCAAACCACACTCCAAAGACCAGCTGACTTACACACAGTGCCCCCGCCACCATGCTCACTTAGAGCCATTAAGAAAATAAAGTGACATAATGAAAGATGTATCCACCTCCACATCAGAGGCCTACAGGCAGAGAAGTGACCATCCCAGCACCAGTATGACGGAGCAACCACCTCATTTGTGGCAATTAGGCTGTGCAGGGACTGATGGAGGGCAGGGCCCCAGCCCTCACTGTTTGTCACATTTCATCCCGCTGCCCGAACTATCTCATGGGGCCTCAAAGGAGGCATGTGTCATCAATGAGAGCATTTAAAATGCCATGGTTGTCCTGTTGTTGTGACAAATATATCAATGTGGAGGGCACCACTTAGTCCATTCATGAACAGGCCGAGGAGACGCAAACATCTAATTTAACACCCAAAGCAAGTTTTACAGTAAATATGTTGTTAAAAAAAAAGATTAAAACAATCTATTTCAGCTATTCTTCATGCAACTGCAAGCAGATTTGTGCTAATAAGAACTGACTTGTGGCTGGAATTTAAAAACTACAATTGTTCACCTGTTTGACAGAGACAATGTCAATAAAATCAGTGCAACAGATATATAAGGAAGTAATTTTGAAGATTTCGCACTCTGGGTGTTTTCCCCCCAAATTAAGTGTTTAGTATCAGAAAGAAACATAATTTGGTGCCAACATGAGTGCTGCTCTTCAGAGTGTTAACACACATACACGCACGCACTGATGTCTGCTAATTGCCTGCAATGACCACGTCTCACGCACTTGTTTAAGCTCAGGCTGCAGAGGACAAACAGAGCCGGTCCCTGCAACGTTCACTGCGCTGCAAAGAGACAGGAGCAGAAATCGTGTTAATAGCTGTCCACTCCAGTGCAGAAGAGCCCGCCAAGGAAGCCTGCAATCACCCAAATACCCACAGACAGGTCGTGGGTGCCCCAGGCGCAGCGCGCGCCCTTCCCTTCAGCGCAACCGACCCCGCTGTGCGCAAAACGGGCCCCACCAGCTCCACAGCGCGTCCGCACCCGCCTCCTGCTCCTTATGTGAGAGGAAAGTTATCAGCTATTACTGTTTTGCAAGAAAAGGCAAAATTCCTGCAAATTTGGGGAATGCAAAAACGAACGCACGAGCTTTAAAAACAATTTGAAAAAACACACACGTTCACTGAACATAATTTCTTGTGCAGGATTTCTTATGTGCAGTTGAAATGAGGCAAACTGGGTCCAAGCATATAGATATAGGTGTTTTAATTATAAAGACATATAAACAATATATGAAATCCGTGTTAGAACACAAGAAGGCGTCTGCTCGGCTGCAGTTATGGAGCTGTGCGGCTTCATGAAGCTCGGGGTTCCTCAGAGTTACAATCAGGAGGGAAGTGCAAGAAGTTGAAACCAAAGCAAACACATTTGATCAGGAACCAGAACAGATGGCGGTTTTAGCAGCATACACTCATTCAGGGGCTCAGATTTGAATTATGTCGCTTTTTATTTAGTTTTTGCTGAATGTTGCATAGATTACAAATCAAAACAAAAGCTTCCCTTTAGAGAAAGAAACCAAACTTGTCATTTTGGGGGATAATTCGGCCTGTGGCGCATTTCGAAGGCCTTAACAGTAGCTTTTTATTCCTGTCATGTTTGTAAAACCAAAACATTGCGGTACTTTTACGCATCAGAATAAAAAAATTAAAAAGAATAAGAAGCTCGCTTTAATTTCCACAGCATTATCATCATTATTGTCATTATTATTATTATTATTTCTTAATTAAACTAGAGTGGGACAGAGACCGACACGGGTGCAGTACATGATGTAAAAGTTCAGGAACAAAATAAACAAGTGAATAAATAAAAGTAGCAGCAGCAAATCAAGGCTTGTCGTTGCAGTGTTTGAAGAGAGTCGACGGCGCGCCGGAGTAAGTGGAACACTTCTCCGCACAGGTGGACGCGAGCGCGGAGCCCGAGAACGGGTAGACCGCCGCCTGTCCAAAGGGCGCCAGGGCGGTGGGGATGGGGGAGCTTATGGACTGTCCCTGGTTCAGATACGCCACCAGCCGCCTCATCTCCTCCAGAGCCTGCGCCTGCATGAGGATGTAGTTCTTGGCCAAGAGGAGGGTGGCTATTTTGGATAGTTTTCTCACCGAGGGGCTGTGGGCGTAGGGGATGACCGCGCGCAGGCCGTCCAGCGCGTCGTTCAGGTCGTGCATCCTCCTCCTCTCGCGCGCGTTGATGCTGAGCCGCAGGGACCGCTGCTCCTTGGACTTCTTGGCCAGGGGCCCCCCGGGCTTGTCGTCCCCGAACGAAGAGCCCCTCTTCCGGGACTCCAGCGAGTCGAAGCCGTCCTCGTCGTCGCTCGTGTGCTCCCCGCCGCTCTCGTTGGACTTCGCCGTCTGCCCGGAGAGGAAGTCCGCGGCGGGCGTGAGCGGGAAGCGGCCGGGGCTCCCCGCGCCGTGGCCCCCGCCGAAGCCGAAGGCTGACTGTCCGTAGCGCTGCGTCAGGTCCAGGAGCGCGTCGTTGCTGATGGACTTCAGCAGGTTCTCGTCGCTGGCGTTCATGGTGGCTCGGTGTGACCAGGTGGAAGTCCGCTCCTCTTTCTTGTTTCTCCTTGATCCCAGCTTGGGTTTGGAGTTCTGTCACAGACTCTCCTGTTAGTTGTTCCCCCCTCCACCTCCCTCCTCCTCACTCCTCCTTTGCTCTGTTTGGTGCTGTGACTCTTCAGGAAGGAGGCTGTGAATGTGAAGCTGAGCGTCTGTAGCCCACGTTCAGCAGCAAACACTTCTTTAACTCGCGCGCTCTCTCCCCCCCACCCCTCCACCTCTCTCCTTCGCCTCCTTCTTGCCCTCCCTCGCCTTGGGCAGACTGAGACTGGCGCTCCGTCCTGCTCTCCAAGTTAGTGGGAGCAGCACGGTCCGCCGGGATTTGCTGTCCGACCAATCAGGGGGACGTTTTAATTAAGAGCGCATGGGTCGAACACGCAGGGCAGGCGCGCGAGCCTCGTGTGTTGCTGCTATTAATGATATGATTCACTTTTTTTTATTAACACGAGACTAATGCTGTTGGATTACATGTGCAGCACGTGGATCAAGCTTTTAGGTTTTAAAGTCCACTCACCTGTCTGAAGAAGACTGAGCCTTAAGACTATAAGAAGTCCATCCTTCTCTGTTTTATTATCATTATTATTATTATTATTATTATTATTATTATTGTTGTTATTATTATTATTATTATTATTATTATTATTATTATTATTATTATAAAATCACGGTGTAATGTGGAATAGATTTTATGACATGGTTGTAAACTTTGCATACAAATCTTCGGGATAACAAATCGGGACAAAAGCTCAGAGATGCCATATATAAATGAGATCTTCCTGCTCTGAAACGGAAACTTTTCCCAGAGTTTAAAGAGCAGGTGCGGTGACTTCCATCAACAGAGAAAGCAGGAGCAACAGTGCCACCTGGTGGCCAACATGAAGCATTACACGGTGACGATAAGACAAGACGTCTCTCCTGTATATTGTTCTCCTTTAGCGCCACCCTGTGAAGGAAACTGAGAACAAACAGTTGTGCTTGAATATTAGAATTTTCTATATTTCTGCATAAACATGACCCAAAACATCCATCCATCCACTATCTTTACCCGTTTATTCCATTTTGGGTCACGGGGGTCGCTGGTACCCATGTCCAGCAATCACTGTGCGAGGGGCGGGGTACACCTTGGACAGGTCTCCAGTCCATCACAGGGACACATAGAGACAAACGAGACAAACAACCATTCAGTCTCTCACTCACACCTAGGGACAATTTAGAGTTACCAATCAGTCTAACATGTATAATTTTGGTCTGTGGGAGGAAATCGGAGTACCCAGAGAAAACCCACGCATGCACGGAGAGAACATGCAAACTCCACCCAGAAGGCCCCTGGACGGGGGTTTGAACCAGGGACCTGTTCGCTGAGAGGCAGCAGCTCTACCAGTTGCGCCACCGTGCTGCCCAACCCAAAACATACAAGTCCTAAAAGTAGATAAAGAGAACCCAGTTAAGCAAATGAGACAAAAATTATTTTTTTTATTTTTATTTTTTTCATTTAGCCTTTATTTATACAGGTTAGTCTCATTGAGCCACGAGAACTCATTTTCAAGAGAGACCTGTTTAGGGAGCAGATGGTGGGGGTTAAGGGCCTTGCTCATGGGCCCAAAATTCAAAAAGCATTCATCATGTCCTGGATGACTGAGAATCTTCACCAGTATACTTGATAAAAAAAAATAAAGTCCATGCTCAATAATCCAGGTATACATTCCAACATTTTTTTGTCAGGTCATCTGGACAGTTTCTTTTTATTTTTTATTTTTTGCTGAAACGTTTCACCTTCTATCTGGAAGTCTTCATCAGTCAAAGAAACACACAGCACAAAACTGATTCTTCCCCCAAACAGTTTGGTCCAAAGTGGAACAAACCAGTTACGTTGGTGCTAAGATGGTGTCTTTGGCACGCCCCCTCCTCTTATGCCAGGCCCTCTTCCTCGTCGACGAGGGACAGGGCCGCAGCAACAACTGTAACTAAATGTTTCCAGTAGCTGTTGATCAGTCTTGAACACAGGCTGGGAGGAATTTTAGCCCATTACTTCATAGAGAACAGCTTCAACTCTGGATGTTGGTGGTTTCCTCACATTAACTGCTGCTTCCACAACATCTGGATTGGACTAAGGTCAGGACTTTGACTTGGTCATTCCAAAACATGAACTTTATTCTTCTTTAACATTCTTTGGTAGAACCACTTGTGTGTTTAGGGTCATTGTGTTGCTACATGACCCACCTTCTCTTGAGATTCAGCTCATGGACAGATGTTCTGACATTTTCCTTTATAACTCTCTGATATAATTCAGAATTTATTGTTCCATCAATAATGGCAAGCCGTCCTGGTCCAGATGCTGCAAAACAGGCCCAAACCATGATACTACCATCTCCATGTTTCACAGATGGGATACTATTTTTATGCAGGAATGCAGAATTGTCCTTTCTCCAAACATAACACTTTTCATTTAAACCAGAAAGTTCTACTTTGGTCTCATCCGTCCACAAAACATACTTCCAACAGTCTTCTGGTTTGTCCACATGATCTTTAACAAACTGCAGACGAGCAGCAATGTTCTTTTTGGAGAGCAGCTTTTTCCTTCAACCCTGCCGTGCACACTATTGTTGTTCGGAGTTCTCCTGATGGTGGACTCAAGAACATTAACATCAGTCAATTTGAGAGAGACCTTCAGTTGATTAGAAGTTACCCTGGGGTCCTTTGTGACCTTGCTGTTACACACCTTCCACTCCTGGGGAAGGTAACAATGGTCTTGAATTTCCTCCATTTCTACATTCATTCAACCTTTATTTATACAGGTTAATCCCACTGAGCCTCAGGGATTCATTTACAAGAGAGACCAGATTCTAACAAAGAGTGATGACAACAGCATCTATCCATCCACCCATCCATCCATTTTCTTCTGCTTATCCGGGGTCGGGTCGAGGGGGTAGCAGCTTAAGTAGGGAGGCCCAGACTTCCCTCTCCCCAGCCACTTGGGCCAGCTCCTCCGGGGGAATCCCGAGGCGTTCCCAGGCCAGCTAAGAAACATAGTCATGACAACAGTAGACAATCATAAAAAGCATACAAATTGAGAAGAACAAATAAAAGAAAATGGTATTTAAAAAATGAAACAAAAACAGCTATGTTATAAAGCGATGTAAAAAACTAAAAACAGGATCATGTCTCATTGGTTTTTCCCAGGAACGTAACAAATGTTTGAAGCCACTTAGAGAGGTCAAGGTCGAGAACTTCAGATCTTTTTGTAAGATATTCCAGGAAACATGAGCGGGGTAGAAGACCCTTTTGCCTAGTTCAGTCCTCACTGATGGAACACTGCAGGTAATAATGTCCTGAGAGCGCACGCTGCACTCGCACAGAGACACGTAGGAGGAGATGTATGAAGGTAACTGTCAGGTATTTCTCGTACCTTTGAAATATAAAGAACCACACAGGAAAACAGAGTGAGATTTTCAACGAAGCTTTTTGCAAAAAGGGGAAATTCACAGTTACAACACTAGGGCTGGTTTCTGTGAAGTCCCAAGGTTTTCCACATCTGCTCGTCTTTTATTGTTCACACAGGAAGAAGGAAAACACCGGACATCTTGATTAGGTAGATTACACAACGAGGGCAAGGTGATCTTAGAACATTTTGATTAAATGCTTACTGTAATGAGTTTCTGATACCATTTGTATCAGATAAAGGTAAGAGAAACAATGACAGTGTAAGACTGATGGAATATGAGTTGATATGTATAAACCTTGACATTTCTGGTTTTACAAAAGAACAAACAATTCAAAGAAAAAACAGCTTGTGTAAGTACAAAGAATTCCTATCAGCTCGGACTTGGACTGATAGTTCTTTTTTCCAGAATCTTCTTTGCTTCGTATGCACAGAAGTGCAGAAATCATCAAACAGTTTAAAATTATAGCATAATAAAAACCCTTACAGTAACAGACCAAGACGGGATTTAAAGACGAAAATGTACCAGTGGGAGAGTCTGCGTGAAGTTAATGATGACCAGTTAACCAGTGAATTCAGGGTGCAGTGGTGGGTACGATAATCACAGCCAGTTATGAATCTTAGTGCACCATGATAGACAGTGTTCAACATCTGCAGGGTGCTTGTAGGAGCGTTCATGTAAATAATGTCACTGTAGTCAGTGGAGGGAAGGAAAGTCACAGATACAAGGTGTTTCCTAGCATTCAGAGTTAGACAGGATCTGTTTCTGAAAAATAATCCCAGTTTAACGTTCAGTTTCTTTACTAGGTTTTCCACGTGGAGTAGATGCAAATTGACCAAGATACACAATCAGTCTGACTATGGATTAGTGGAGTCCAAACTCTTTACAGATGGTTTTGTAACCTTTTCCAACCTGATGAGCATCAAAAACTCTTTTTCTGAGTTCCTCAGAAATCTTCTTTATCTGTGCCATACACCTCCACAAACATGTGGAAGTGGAACAATTCAGCCAGATCACAACAGACGTCGTCTCAGGGCGCTGTGCAAAAACATTCACATACATATAAAAGCCAATTAGTAAAAGTTATCTATCTAAGGAAAGAAGCCAGCAGACGCGTTGAGTCTTAAGTGTTTTAAACTTTAAATAATCTTGACTGCTGTGCAACAACAGTTCACCTTCTCTTGAGTTTTCTCTTTTTATTCTTTCGGCTGCTCCCTTCTTCAGAGGTCGCCACAGCAAACTAAGTCGCACAAAGACGTCCTTCGTGACGCAACCACAGACCACCGAGCCACCACAGCCCTCCAGCTGTTAGGGTGCCCGGTGGGAGTCCAGAGTGGGGTAAATGAGGGTGGAGGCAGGTGTGGGTGCTTCACCTATCCCACCCACGGGAGTTAAACCGGCAATCTTCCAATCACAGGCCCACCTTCTCTCATCTTTGCGCAACCACACCCCTTGCTTGACTGTGGTATTAACTGTTAAACACTGCCTTCTGTTAGCCAAATATCTCACAGACCACTGGTTATATTGTTCTCTGAAAGTAATCACTGGACTGAGAAAATCTGTGAGTCTGTTAGACCAAAGACAAGATGTAGCTTTTATTTTCTTCCAACGAGTAGTTTTTAAAACATGTATCCAGTAGGTGGCAGAAAAGTCCATGAAGTGATAAAGCATCTTTAAAAAAAAAAAAAAAAAGTAAATTGGATATAACTGTTTACTTGTTTACAGCGTCATCGAGTGCAGTTTGTGACTGAATCTGTA